ATTAATCACTATCTTGCAAGGATTCCAGCAATGCAATTTATATTCTGCTTAAACAAGTCAGCTACATTTTATAAGATAAAAACTTTAAGCCTAAAACTAGCTTCACCCAAGCTGGGAGGAAGGGAGGGAAGTTAAGTGCCCTCTCATAATTTTGTCCGGACTAAAGGAGGTGCCGGACCATCAGCTCCCGGATAATCGGTGGTGTACCTGTAACTTGAATTTGCTTAATATTTTAAATTATGCACCATTATTGAGAGAAGATAAACTAAAAGGTAAGCTCTTTTTGCACTGCATTGTGTGAGAATTCAAAATTTAATACTTACCTCTAATGCACCAGCAACTGGGGTTTCAATAGCATATGTAGTATACTAAAATAAGAAAAATAAGCATGTTCCATGATATACTGTATACAAACAAAATATTTAATTTTCTTTCCCGTGTAATATTCACCCATTTGGTTTTGTTTTATTCATAGTTTTAATTGCATCAGCTAGTTTTTTCAGGGAGAGGAAACGCTTCTGTTTTTGTTGCTGGAAGGCCTCTCTACTCTTCCTTGATTTTTGAGCCATTTCCTCTCACACAGTTTTTTTTTATTCTGACTGTTTAACAAATCTTTCCGCTTATTTTCTTCTTGCTGCAACCTCTTCTGCTTTAACATGCTTCTATACCTACTGCTGGAGAGTTTTATGTTCCTACACATCACAGGGTCCCCTCTTGAGACACATAACCTCAGCCCTGACCTCCTGGGGCACACACAGATGCCCTACAGCCCTGACCTCCTGGGGGACTTTGTAAGCCCTGACTGGTGAACACACACACACATGCCCTACAGCCCTGACCTCCTGGGGACACACACACATGCCCTACAGCCGTGACCCCAGACACACACATGCCCTACAGCTACCCTGGTGGCACACACACTACAGCCCTGACCTCCTGGGACACACACACACATGCCCTACAGCCCCTAACCTGGTGGACACACACACACACATGCCCTACAGCCCTGACCTCCTGGGGAGACACACACACATGCCCTACAGCCCTGACCTCCTGGGAGACACACACATGCCCTACAGCCCTGACCCCTGGTGCACACACACACACATGCCCTACAGCCCTGACCTCCTGGGGACACACACATGCCCTACAGCCTGACCCCTGGTGGACACACACACACACATGCCCTACAGCCCTGACCTCCTGGGGGACACACCCACATGCCCTACAGCCCTGACCTCCTGGTAGACACACCCCATGCCCTACAGCCCTGACCCCTGGGAGACACACACACATGCCTACAGCCCTAACCCCTGGTGGACACACACACACACATGCCCTACAGCTGACCTCCTGGGGACACACACCCTACAGCCCTGACCCGGTGGCCACACACAATGCCCTGCCCTGACCTCCTGGGGGACACACACACATGCCCTACAGCCCTGACCTCCTGGGGACACACACTGCCTACAGCCTAACTGGTGGACACCCCCACCACTGACCCCTGGTGGACACATACACACATGCCCTACAGCCCAGACCTCCTGGTGCACACATGCCCTACAGCCCTGACCTGGTGGACACACATGCCCTGCCCTGACCTCCTGGTGAACACACACATGCTGCCCTGACCTGGTAGCCACATGCCTACAGCCCTGGCCCCTGGTAGACACACCCACATGCCCCGGCCCTGACCCCTGGTGAACACACCACATGCCCTACAGCCCTGACCCCTGGTAGACACACCCACATGCCCTACAGCCCTGACCCCTGGTGAACACACACACACATGCCCTACAGCTCTGACCTCCTGGGGCACACACACACATGCCCTACAGCTACCCCCTGGCACACACACACACACATGCCCTCAGCCCTGACCTCCTGGGGGACACACACACATGCCCTACAGCCCCCTGACCCCTGGTGGACACACCCACATGCCCTCAGCCCTGACCCCTGGTTGACACACCCACATGCCCTACAGCCTGACCCCTGGTGGACACCCACACAAACATGCCCTACAGCCCTGACCTCCTGGGGACACACCCACATGCCCTACAGCCCTGACCCACTGGTGGACACACACACACATGCCCTACAGCCCTGACCCCTGGTTGACACACCCACATGCCCTAGCCCTGACCCACTGGTGACACACACACACATGCCCTACAGCCCTGACCCCTGGTTGACACACCCATGCCCTACAGCCCTGGCCTGGACACCCACACAAACATGCCCTACAGCTGACCTCCTGGGGACACACCCACATGCCTACAGACCCCCTGGTGACACACACACACACATGCCTACAGCCTGACCTGGTGGACACACACACATGCCCTACAGCCCAGACCAGACACCCCACATGCCCTACAGCCCTGACCCACTGGGGCACACACATGCCCTACAGCCTGGACCCCTGGTGGACACACACACACACACACACATGCCCTGGCACACCACATGCCCTACAGCCCTGACCCACTGGGGGACACACACACATGCCCTACAGCCCTGCCCCTGGTGACACACACACACACACATGCCCTACAGCCCTGACCCACTGGGGACACACACATGCCCCTACAGCCCTGACTGGTGAACACACACACACACACTGCCCCCTACAGCCCTGACCCCCGGAGACACACACACACATGCCCTACAGCCCTGACCTCCTGGGGACACACACATGCCCTACAGCCCTGACCCCTGGTAGACACACACACATGCCCTACAGCCCTGACCTCCTGGGACACACCCACATGCCCTACAGCCCTGACCCCTGGTAGACACACCCACATGCCCTACAGCCCTGACCTCCTGGGACACACCCCACATGCCCTACAGCCCAGACCTCCTGGTGGACACACACACATGCCCTACAACCCTGACCTCCTGGGGACACACCCACATGCCTACAGCCCTGACCTCCTGGTAGACACACCCCCACATGCCCTAGCCCAGACCTCCTGGTGAGCCACACACACATGCCCTACAGCCCTGACCCCTGGTAGACACACCCACATGCCCTACAGCCCTGACCTCCTGGGGACACACCCCACATGCCCTACAGCCCAGACCTCCTGGTGGACACACACACACATGCCCTACAACCCTGACCTCCTGGGGACACACCCACATGCTACAGCCCGACCTCCTGGGACACACCCACATGCCCTACAGCCCTGACCTCCTGGGGACATACACACATGCCCTACAACCCTGACCTCCTGGGGACACACCCACATGCCCTACAGCCCTGACCTCCTGGGGACATACACACATGCCCTACAACCCTGACCTCTTGGGGACACACCCACATGCCCTACAGCCCTGACCTCCTGGGGGGACACCCACATGCCCTACAGCTCCTGACCTCCTGGGACACACACACATGCCCTACAGCTGACCCCTGGTGACACACACACACACATGCCCTACAGCCCTGACCTCCTGGGGACACACACATGCCTACAGCCCTGACCCCTGGTGGGACACCCACATGCCCTACAGCCCTGACCCCTGGTTGCCACCCACATGCCTACAGCCCTGACCCCTGGTGGACACAAACATGCCCTAGCCCCACCTCCTGGGGACACACCCACATGCCCTACAGCCCTGACCCCTGGTGGACACACACACACACATGCCCTACAGCCCTGACCCCCTGGTGGACACACACACACATGCCCTACAGCCCAGACCTGGTGGACACACCCACATGCCCTACAGCCCTGACCCACTGGGGGACACACACACATACCCTATAGTCCTGACCCCCTGGGGGACACACACACATGCCCTACAGCCCTGACCCCCTGGGGGACACACACACATGCCCTACAACCAACCTCCTGGGGACACCAACATGCCCTACTGAGTTGCCTATACAACTTTGACATATGGCATGGGTTAGATAATATTGATCATTAGAAAGTGTAAAATGATTATAGAAACTTAAGTTATATTGAACAATGCTTAATACAGGTACTAAGAATTTTTCAATATAACTAAGTTTCTTTAATCATTTTACAATTTTTGATGATCACAATTATTCTATAACCCATGCCATATTTCATAGTTGTATAGACAACTCAGTAGGGCATGTTGGTGTCCCCCAGGTGGTCAGGGGTAGGTCAAGTGGAAAGGGTGGAGGGGCATATTATAATGCTTCTAATAGTGGCATTGTATGACGTCATTTATCTTTGGTCAATGAAATAGTAAAGAATCAAAGAATGGAATGCAAAACAAGCAATACTCAGCCAATGAGAAATATATATGATGTAATGCATGAATATGTAGAGTGCGGCCACTATACTCAGTATACTGGCTCATCATCCTCACGCGGCAGACCCATCAACCCTAGAGGGTCATTATTGTTATTAATTGTCAAACATTTATCTCGTCATGGTCATACCACACCCCCCCTAAATTTTTCTCAACGGATCAACGCGATTCACGTGGGTCGCCTAAAACGATGGAAAAAACGGGAAAACTGGAAAAAAAAGGGAGAAATCAATCCCTGGGTGAAGTGAGTAACCGGTCAGACCCCGAGCGTCTCGCCAGAGAGCACCTCCCAAAACCCAAAAGTGTTAACAGAGAAGTGCTGTTCACGAGTGTGATAACATAAACAAATGATGACTTCCTGCTTTCAATGACACACAATGCTTCTATATTTTCAACTTAAAGGCAATGATTATTACAGGGAGGGAGTAACATAAAATTAGATTAGCTGCCCAGTTACTATTGCCAGAGTACCCTGGATACAAAAGCTATCTAATATTAAATCAGGAATAAAAATGTAAGCAGTAAGCAGGTAACATTTACCTACAAAAGTAATCTGAATCATTCTGTGAGGTGCAAAGATGACTTAGGAGTCTCAAGAGAATGGACTTAAAAAAAAATGTATATCACAAGTGATATGATGATAAGCTAATAAGAATGTAGGTCAATAAAAAGAAGACTGGATAAATACAAAATATTCTTACCCATAGATGTCAGATATATCTATCACAACATCGATCATTTCACAACAAAGCTCGTAACTTTGCATATCTACTGGCGAGGAATCTGTAGCAATGTAAATCTTGGAGAGTACATCAAATAAGAATGCTTTCTCTATGCCAGAATTCTGAAAAAAAAAAATTATCTTTAAACTTTTATGCCATTTCAGAAAAAAAAATGCTCAAGCCTAGTAGGACATACAAAAATAGATCCTTTCAAATAACGTTGTGAAACACTGGGACAGCAGGCCCTTCAAATTTGCGGGGGTTAGGTTCTCAAAATGGCCGTGAATCGCCAAATCCGCAAACAACGTTTGCTGACGGGGAGGGGGTTAACATTTTTATTTATGTACAGAGAAATGTATATTCCCTTATGTGTTTGTTGCCCTTAGGACAATTATTTAGTGTGTGTGTGTGTATGTGACACTGTTTCAATGAGTGCATACATACATACTTATCTACCAATTTATTGATCACTTCTATTGTACTTACATTACATAACATTAATTAAAAGATACATGGAGTATTTTTTATATCAATTTTACTACTGTACATCTGCAAACATCGTTAGTCAAGGCTTTAATGTACACAAAATCATTACAATAAGCTCTAATACCAACTCATTTCATCCCAAATACTATTGGATAATTGCTTTGGAAAAATCCCTAAATGGCAACTGTCAGCTGACGTGAATCAGTCCTGTCCATATGGTAGGAGATACTGACTGCAACCCCCCCCCCCCCACCAAAAGATCACTACACATAGGTGTATAGTTCATGAAACACAAGTCAACTTGTGGCATGATGGATGACTCATTAATGAGTAATACAGTATAAAATCAAGAGATTTTCAGGGAATTTTTTTGGCATACATACGTATACCATACAGTATTTATGAAAAGAATACAAATAAAAATAATGATGAAGCATCCAACTTTTTGCAATTTTTAAATCTATTACTTCTAATTTCCAATCATTTTCATTAATGTATTTTATAAATTTTGAGAAAAGGGCCTAGCTATTAATACCAATAAAGCGATACACACCTCCAACATTTATTATTACTGTATATATTCTCGTATGATCAGCCACTTATGGTGTATGTTTATCATTGATAATATAAAATATTAAATACTGTACGTACTATAACATGTATCGGTATAGAAAAATGACGAAATATTACGTCATTCTCCCGAGTCCCGGTCCTCTGTGCGTGGGTGACAAGGGGACGCTCGAGGCAACTTAGGTCGTAGGCTCACGCACAATGATTGGCTGATGCTGTCATGTGACCTCATGAGACATCTGTAATTGGCTGATGCATCTTCTAGATGCCCCCCTCCTCCCCCTCCCCAGACTAGCCTCAGGGCAGGATTAGTGCATAAATTTTTGTCACCAGTCCCCCCCCTACAAGGTTCATCTGTTGCTCACTCCTGTTTGTTGTGCAGTACTGTACAACTGCTGTACAGAGTACACAATCAACCTACAACACAGCGTCTAAGCTGTGTTAAGACGTCAACAGTGATTTCAGTGTACAGTAGGACGACGATAACGCGCGATAGGTTCCAAGAGAGGTCGCTTTCAACCAAATTCCCACAAAATCAAAGTGTTGTTTCAATGGAATAATTTAGTGTGGTACTTGAGAGAAACACAAAATACTAAAAAGATTGAGAATCTACCCAGATGCACCTCAGCCAATCTCCTAGAATAAACAAAACATTGTTTATTGTAGTATTATGTTAAAACAAAAACTCATAAATCAACACAGCTAAAATTAAGGGATGCAAAATGGTCTGTTTACTGGCTGGAAAGGTGGGGGGGGGGAGGGAGGTGAGGTGATATGTTTGATAATTGATGCCAAGGTCTAGTGCTTATTTATTTATCTGTCCTTAAGAGTGACTTAAGTTTTTCTCTTATAAAATGTCACTGAACTGACATGGGAGAATATAATTAACATTGCTGGAATTCTTATAAGATAGTGATTAATTTGAATATAAACATGCTATAGCTCGCATTAGACATACAAATTTTAGTTCTAATTTAAGAATTTTATTACAAAGAGCAAAATTTTTTTATCTCTTGTGCAAAATATATGACGTTTATATTCAAATTATTTGCTGTCTTGCAAGGATTCATGCAATACAAATTATATTCTCCTAACTTTAGTCTGTGATATTATATACAATAAAAACTTTAAGCCTAAAACACCAAATCCTGGCTGGGAAGAGGATGGGAGGGGGAGGGGGAGGAATGGGAGGGAGGGAGGGGAGGAGGAAGGAGGGAGGGAGGGAGGGAGGAGGAGGAAGGGAAGGAGGGAGGGGAGGGAGGAGGGAAAGGAGGGGGAGGGAGGGGGAGGGAGGGAGGAGGAGGGAGGGAGAGGAGGGACGGAGGGAGGGAGTGAGAGAGGAAGGGAAGGGAAGGGAAGGGAAGGGAAGGGAAGGGAAGGGAAGTGACAGTGACATGTTTGACAGTTGGGGCCGAAGGTCTAGTGAAGTGTTTATTTGTTTATTTATGTCCTTTAGCTTGAGTTAATGTTTCATGCTTATAAAATATCACAGATGTGACCGAGGAGAATATAATTTACATTGCTGGAATTCTTATAAGATAGTGATTAAATTTAATATAATCATGCTATAGTTTACACTAGACAAAAATGTTAGTAATCATTTAGTACATTATTTTGAGGACATGTACAGTACAGCTTTGCCCTTAAAGACAGTGTAGCATGGCCAAAGAAACATTAGGCGCAAATTTTAAATATGATGCGCCAGATTGACTCGCACAAAATAGGAAAGATTCGCTTTAAATTAAAACATTGACCTTAATTGTGGGTGTCGCTTTAAATCAATAATCTTAAATTGAATCGCTTTAAATCGATGTTCTACTGTACAATTTTACTGGAAATTAACATTGTGTGAACACAGTGCATACATTACCTCACATAGGAGCAGCCATTGTTTGTGTACCACACATTACTGTACCAAGACACCCTCAAGTAAGTACAGTACTGTATGCACCCAAATCTAGTTTTGTACAGTATCTTAATAATGTACAGTATAATTCATATTCTATTCCAATAATTCATGAGTCGGTAATTTTTGAGGATGTTCATTATACAAATTATATAATGTTTTCTTTCATTTAAAATTCAGTAAGGAGTAAGGTGAGGAGGGAGGGAGGGAGGGAGGGGAGGAAACTGACTGCACAACCCCCCAAAATGGTTCCTTGTCTCCTCAGGCCTACCATTACCATTGTAAAAATTTTTACTTTGTTTTTTATTTACTAATAAAGATATGTTTACTGTAATATTCTGTGCTTATTAATACCTGTACCCTACAAATATAATACAGCACAATACTTTTATAATGTATCAGTACTGTAATGATTAAATAAAAAACTGTTATATTTGGCAATGGCTAAGCTTACCCGCCACCAACCCTCCTCCCAGTAGAAAGGTCTGGGTGAAAAATTTGCCTTATTATTCAACTTGTCATCTAATTTTGATGTCAAATTATACATCGTATATTTTCTTGTGTGTTTAATATTTTATATTGACCATGATAAAACATACACCGTAAGAAGCTGATCATTCGAGAATATAAATAATAAATGGTGGAGTGTGTGTGTGTTGGAGGTGTGTGTATCTCCTCCCTCCTGCCTCCCTGCCAGCATCATGCCTCCCTCCAACTCGCAGTGTCTCACACAAAAGAATGTTTGTATGATGTGGTGTTGGGGTATTCATTAATGAATAATAAACAATATTGTATTGCTAATGACAGTACAGTGGTTTGTTGAATAGTAGTGACAATTGTAGTACGCTGCTATTTTTCAAACGACTGTCATTGACGATGCAATATTGCTTATTTATTAATTAACATCAAACCCAGACACCCCTATATTGTATGACATAAATTTAAGTGTGGTTAACTGCGTGGTGGTGAATTAAAAGATCAGCTGTTGAGGAGCTTAGCGCTTGGCAACACTGGTGCATGTTATTCAGCTTTCTTACTCCACATTTTAAATTCTTTATGTAATGTAATGTTGAAGGGATACAATGTGATAAGTGTAAGTATAAAAATAATGTATTTTAGTTTTCATGTTTATTCTAGACATCTTCAGGTCCTGAGACCTACTAATCCCCGACCCAACAGTGGGTGACCTGACATTGTATCAGGTCAGTAATATGAGACCACCAATACCTCACCTTACCTACCTCCACCTGACATTGTGTCAGGTCACTTACATGAGATCCACTAATCCCACACAGCTCCAAGGGAGTGGAAAATACCAGTCTTTGCTCTAACACAAAGCTTCATTCACGACCATATCATATAGATTTTTAGATTAGTCCCTCTTGGAAAACTCCCCAGTACACAGAAACTTTATGAGGATGTGGGCAAGTGTTTGTGCAAGATGCATAGATTACACACTCGGAAAGTTTTTCCAGTACTGTATATCATTCTAAATACTACTTAAGTACTGTATAAATCTTGATTAAATAAACATGGACACTCTGACTATCGATCAAAATATAAATTGAAAATGAATGCTTTACACTCTCACATTTCATTTACGGAAGATTAAATAATCCACTCTCATTCAAGTGCCTATCTTATAACAAACAAAGCTTGTGTAAAGCTAGCAATCCTTTAATTACTAGCTCTAAACCAATAAACAAATCTGAAACAAATCATAAATCTGCATTACTCAAAACTCACAGATATAAATATGTTAAGGAGATTCTCAAGCGTTGGAAGCTGTGGTATAAGCTTCTGAACAACCTTACTGAAGGCTTCAAATATACTGTGGTCATAGATGGATGTAAGGTAGAAGCTCAGGTGAATCTGTTCCATGCCTGCAAAGACAAAGGACATTTTCAAAAGTTCAATAAATACATTCCAAAATGATTTTGTACACAGTGATATGGAATTCGTAAATTGACAGAGTGAGTAATGAAGAAAAGAGCACTTGATAAACTAAAGGCAGGAAAATGTCATGAACATTTAAAAAGTACCAATGTGTATGGAATAAGTACAGTACAACACTTGATTTCCAAATAATAATGGAAAGGAATTATTAATTCAGTAAAAAAAGAATATGTGTGCAAAAGAGGTACATTAATGGGAGTTCTATGCAGATAGAGTAAATCGTTGACAATCGACACTACCTTGATGGAAGGTGGTCCAAATGATCCAAATTTTTGGATATTCCAAAAGTGTTTCTTTGGGTAGGAACAAGCCATTTACAGTAGGGTCAGGATACCTAGCGACTTTATATAAAGATTTTTTTTACATCGCGGGCTACCAAATTTATCGACATTTTCCTATACAGGTATATAGCGATATTTTTTTTATTTCACGAGGGAAATCTGGCAGGAAATATTTCAAATTTATCACTACAGGTTGTACCTCTTTAGTCCGGCATTCTGTGGTCTGGAAAGTCCCGTGGTCCGGAACGATTTTAGTTTGTCCAATAGGCAGCTCTTTTTTTTTTTTTTTACTAATCTGAATTATTATTATTATTATTATTACAGGAGTATTAAATTTTTGCCCCTCAGGCCCCAATGTGGGTCAGTGACCTATGCCCGGGTGGGCTAATCCCCTTAAAAAAAAAAAGCCGCGGGAAATTAAGGTTTGTTTACATCCGGCAGTTCGGCTGCTCTCTCTCTCTCTCTCCTTGTCTATACAGAGTACAACATTTAACCCTTCAATATATATGAGCAGTAAATAAGTGTTGCTTTCATATTCTTATATAGAGTAATGACGATATGTTTTCACATGTGCGCAGTCTCACTTTTTTTTTACCATTAATGGTTAGCTACTTATATTGTTCCATTTATTAACATTAAATAACATTACAGGTACTTCAAACAACCATATTAATTTTTTTACATTAATTTTACTAGAGCTAAAATCAGGGTCTTATTTTCTTCAGTTTTATATGTAGAACCAATCAGTCACTGGTTTTGTAAGCTTTAACATAAACAATGCCGGCAGCCGTCTCGTCTCTAATATTCCACGTACAGTGACCCCTCGGTTAACGAACTCAATCCGTTCCAGAAGGTCGCTCGTTAACCGAAAAGTTGGTTAACCGAAACCATTGTTTCAATGGGTTTTTGGGTAATTGGTTCCAGCTCACCGAAAATTTCCTAAATTCAACAAAAATGGTAGAAAAGTTCACTTACTTTGAGGTGTGTATGTAGAAGGCTCCTGGATGATGATGATGATGATGATGATGGGATTTAGAATGGGGAGGAGGAGAAGGAAGAAGAGAAGGCATTAGGGTGGAAGAGAAGTCACCCCATGGCGCCATTTCACCCATAAAATTTTAGCTCTCTTGGTGTAATTCAAGATTATTTTCTTTAAATCAACACTGCACTGCATTATATATTGTCAATATGTAAAATATATTTCAAAATGACCAATAATTTGCTTGGAAACACAGAAAAAAGCATTTAGTTGAAGAGAGTCTCAAGCAAGATGTTACCTCCAGTGAAAACAGAGAGAGACTAACGCCTGTTTGCTGTGTTAAGAGGCTGGATGCCGTGCATTAAACTAGTCACTTTACCTTCAATTATGTTCAATAATTGTTGAAATGACTAAAAAATTTAATATTAAACTTTTAAAATTATTGAATAGTATAAACTTCTTGATATTTACTAAAATAGTAAGGAATTTAAGCCCTAGAACCGATTAATGTATTGGCGGACTGATACTAAAGCTGGTTGCCCGGTCAGTGCAAGCGAAAACATGTTGAGGTCGGTTCGTAAGAAATTCGTTAACCGAATTGAAGATCCTTATGGAAGGCAGTTCGTTAACCGAAATTTCGTTAACCGAGGCGTTCGTTAAACGAGGGGTCACTGTATTATTAATAAATTGTATTGTTAATTTTGCACACACAAACATTAATTCAATAAAAACAAATTCAGAAACATTAATTAAAATATATATGAACAGTAAATAAGTGTTGCTTTCATATTCTTATGTAAAGTAATGACGATATGTTTTCATGTGTGCGCACTTACATACGCGATCTCTCTTTTTTCTTTACCATTATCATTAGCTACTTCTATTGTTCCTTTTATTAACATTAAATAAGATTACTTAAAACAACCATATTAATTTTACTACAGCTACAGCCAAGGTCTAATTTTCTTCAGTTTTATATGTAGAACCAGTCAGTCACTGGTTTTGTAATCAACGAAAACAATGCTGTGTCATTTCCTCATGTGTTTTAATATTCTACGTATTATTAATGAATTGTATTGCTCATTTTGCACACATAAACATAAATTAAATAAAAAAGACATTCAGTAATAAACAATAATGAATCTTTTGTACATAAGAAAAATGACGCTGTTTACACGATTATGCACGTCGTCTGCATGTTGGCGGGCCGTTCGAACCCGTCGAAATTCAAGTTTCCGCCGTCAAAATTTTTATTTATTTATTTTTTTGTGTTCCAATAAAATACGTTAAGAATTAAAAACTCGCGAAATTTGAGAAGCTACTATACGACATTTAACCCTTCAATATGTCTTCAAAGAGACCATGATGCAGAGAAAGTGGTGCTAGTGCTTCCAAGCATAAGCACAAGTCACTATCTATCCAGGAAAAGGGTGAATTTCCATGGTCCAGCACCGGTCAGGTCCCGAGGTTGCCGGACTAGAGAGGTACAACCTGTACTATTAAAATTATCGGAATTATCCAATACACAGTAGACTCGCAACTTACGCGAGGGTTATGTTCCTGGGACCTCGTGTAAAGTTAGAAACACTCCTAAATGGCCCTTAAATCACTATACAGTCGACCCTCGTTAAAACGGACTAATAGGAGGGGAAGGGTGTCCGTTTTAGCTGATTGTCCGAATTAACCGATATGTGTATGTTTATTTGAGCGCCCCGTCATAGGAGTCCGTTTTCTCTCATTTCAGGGCACCTGAGTCTTCCGTTTTCTCTTAATCTTGGAGTGCAGTGCACCAGAGACTTCGTTATTCCTTAGTAATGACACAGAATTTGATATTGCAACTGGGGTTGCAATTTTTTAGGCAACTTAGGTATGTCTGATTACAGTTGGAATTTACAAGATCCATTGTGAGTGATGTTTAAAGCTTCAACTGTCTTTATGGTTGGTAAAACTCGTCAAGTCTGTCAGTCTGAGTGGCATGTGTGAGGCCTTGTGTTTGTACAACCGCTAAATATATAAATATATAATGTTATGGTAATTATCAGAAACACACATAGGCATGACTAGGTTTATTACAAAGTGATGAAAAGGATACGCTCAATACTGCACAGTGGGTAGTCCACAAAACATGTAGCTATGTGTATGTTTATTTGAGTGCCCCATCATAGGAGTCTGTTTTCTCTCATTTCAGGACGCCTGAGTCGTCTGTTTTCTCTTAATCTTGGAGTGCAGTGCACCAGAGACTTTGTTATTCCTTAGTAATGACACAGAATTTGATATTGCAACTGGGGTTGCAATTGTTGAGGCAACTTAGGTATGTCTGATTACAGTTGGAATATTCAGGATCCATTGTGAGTGATGTTTAAAACTTCAACTGTCTTTATGGTTGGTAAAACTTAAGTCTGTCAGTCTGAGTGGCATGTGTGAGGCCTTGTGTTTGTACAACAGTGAAATATGTAAATATATAATGTTATGGTAATTATCAGAAACACACATAGGCATGACGAGGTTTATTACAAAGTGATGAAAATTATACTATCAATACTGTACAATGGGTAGTCCACAAAACATGTAACCATGTCTCTTTATTTGAGTGCCCCGTCATAGGAGTCCGTTTTCTCTCACTTCAGGATGCCCGAGTCGTCCGTTTTCTTTTAATCTTAGAGTGCAGTGCACCAGGGACTTTGTTATTCCTTAGTAGTGGCACAGAATTTGAAATTGCAACCCCAATTGCAACTGGGATAATCCCAGAACCAGAAATTTGATACAGACAGTTCAGATTTCGTCCGATTTATCCGGACGTGTTGGAGTGAGAGGAGAAAAGGGAAACTGGTTCTTGATAATAGACGGATATCAAAGGCTGTATTGAATTCTAACCAATGACTAGTAAGAGAGATGTAAGTAGCTGACATTAGTAGAGAAAAGTATTAGTTTATTGAGTAATTAGATGAGCTGTACTTGGGAGGTGAGTCAGATGGAGTTATAATGACACTGCTCTTGAAAATTATTCTGGAGCAGAGTTAGAAAGAGTGTTTTACTAGGAAATCATTAACAGTTAATGTGAAGAAAAAAAAGCAAGTGACGAAAATAACAGAGTAAAGAGACTATTCAGTTCACGTTCTTTTGAGTGACACTTGTCACCTGTTACTTATACTTCATTTTATTTCTGTGTTGTTCCTGTCACCACCAATGTGGTATATCTATGTGAGTACCTATTTATGTCTCTTATGTGTCCATCAGTGCTTGCTTAGTTACATTTAAGTAATTCAGTGTTGTTTCACATTAGTTAATTTCAGTGTTAGTTATTTTATATGTTTATGTAGTGTTAACTTAATCCAGTGCTTTATTTTTATTCTATATATTTAAGCAGTTCTTTTGATGTTTCGATGTTTAGTATCATTTGTGTCTTAAAGGTTTCGATAGTGAATCAATTTGTTGTGACAGCCTACAAGGCTCTTTATTGTGTTAATATTTAATTTAATTAAATTCTTAAAGGTTAACTTTCTCTATTTTTATTCCCTTTTAATTTACTTCACTTTTTTTGTTTGGTTACACCTAGAACCTGGATATTAAAGTAAATTAAGAGACGGCAAGAGTAATGATGAGTGATGAGCTGACTCTCAGAGCTACAAAAGAGAAGAATAAGAGATGGATTGATAAATGTATATACTAAGAGATAACCATGTCAAATAAGGCAAAGATGGGGACGTGTGGAAGAAATGCTGAACAAACTTTTGAAAAGCTACTGTACTTAAGTATTGTACATAATAAATTAGTAGTTTCTATACACTAACTTAAGTACAATTGATGAAGACTACTTTTATTTTAGCTCGAATATTGTACTTTTTCTTTCCAGATTACTTGTACAGTCCTGTAACAAATCACAGTATTTTCCACGCCTCTTTTCACAGGTTGCACTACACTTATACCACATACCAAAAATAACCATGATTACATTACCTGCATCTATAAGTTCATCATTTGCTCTTTGATGAATATCTCTTTGGGTCTCAATCTTCGTGTCATCTGAGAGACCATCAACTTTGTGAATGAATACTTCAAATCTCAAGTGTGGGTTGACCTTGTGTGCTCTTAACACAGTCTGGTGCAATCGGTTTAATGCCTCCATGTAATCATCCTGAAAGAAAAGAATTTTTTTTTACTGCTAACTTTAAATACTCCTTTGATAATTTGATAACAATATAAAGATTATAATAAACATCATCGCCACTAATACAGAAAATGCACCGTTTTTAATTTACTCCCTGGTGTAGCCTATCCCCTTAATTTTAAGCAGAATTGTAAAAAGTACCAGTATTGTTACATTGGCAAAATGTTGCTCAAGTAAAAGTAAAAGTATCCAAAGTTCAATGTACTCAAGTAGAAGTAAAAAGTATCTCATTTCATAAAGCACTCAAGTACTGAAAGTAAAAAGTAAAACAAAATTTATTGTCTCAAACATTAAAATAAATCCATGTTTATTTGCAAATCTTTCTATTGAGATTAACAATAACTGATTCTCAAAATTATGGCTGTCCAATCGGGATCTTTTAGACCTAAACATAAGGCCAGCATGGCTAAACAGACACTCACAAGCAGCAGATGCAGGTAATGGGGTGTTTGGGGTGTTAAGCTTGAGAGATAAGTTCCCAACTGTCGGAAAAGACCTCGGTAGCTCTATTCCATCCCCTGGGCATGCCAAGTACAGTAGAACAACGATATAACACGAGATACGTTCCAAGAGAGGTCGCTTTAAACCGAATTCGCAATAAATTGAAGTGTTGTTTTAATGAAATAATTTAGTTTGGTACTTGAGAGAAACAAAACACTAAAATCACTGACAGTCTACCCAAATGCACCTCATGTTAAAGTTACAGTGTTCATTTTTGGTGGATATCAACGAAATATGATGCAAGAGGCTCAGACAATGACACCAACGATGTTGCTCTTTCCAGTATATTTTCGGGACCATCCGTAAAAACAAAAGAAACATAACATGCGCATTCAAAGTGGCGCTTTATTCCACAACTAACACAAAACATAATATAACATATTCACATAAATATGGGGTAACCTAGTTTATATCTAACACACCCTTTTAAACTAGGGTACAACTCTTATAATACCAAACTTCTTTAGTTTCTCTTTAGATACTGGTTTAGTGAACAATGTTATTTTCTGATGGAACATACTGCAGATTAATAATACAGGTTGACCATCAAAAATCTGGCAATCGATAAACCGGAACCTTCAGTTTACCGGCATGGATTTCGGAGAGCATTTTCAAATTTCCTGCCTTGGCGCACCATTGTTTTCTGGACGCACCGTTCATGTTTTGATAGCGCTGTACTCCAGAATCAGATGGTGGGTCTTGCTTGCACCTGCTAACAAGTATTCATGCTCATTCCTTCTGATTTTATCATTTTATCATTTAATTAGCCTGGTAAACATTAAAATTTCATTTGCATTTCATTTAGTGTTTAATTTTTTTTTTTTAAAGGACTGTAGAGGTAGTAATTTTCTGTTAAATATACTGTACAGTATTACCCAGCTTTACACGGTTTCACTTTCCTCCGCTCATTTACACCTTGCCATAACCAGCTACTCATATACGCGTGAAGTATAATTTTTTATTTTATTTAGCTCATAAAATTCATACAAATTACCCGGCCAGAATATAATTTACATTGTTGGAATTCTTACAATTTGATGATCATTTTGAATATAAACATCATAGATTTTGCATTAGACATACAAATTTTAGATCTAATGTTTACTCTGAGTAAATATGTTATCTTTTGTGCAAAATATATGACATTTATATTCAAAATATTCCTGGTCTTACAAGGAATCCAGCAATGTCAATTATATTATCCTGACTTTAGTCTGAGGTATTATTTATTACTAAAAAGGTAAATATTCTGGTTTTCCCACACATTTATCTGGTAGGGAGGGTTGGTAGGGAGGGTTGGTGGGGAGTGGGTGGGGGGGAGGGAGGGACTGACCGACCATCTGGCACGGTGTGAAGAATATTTTTTTTTTTTATTAACTGAAGATATTTGTTTTAGCTCATAAAATTCATACAAATTACCAGGCCAGAATATAATTTACATTGCTGGAATTCTTACAATTTGATGATCATTTTGAATATAAACATCATATATTTTGCATTAGACATACAAATTTTAGATATAATGTTTACTCTGAGTAAATATGTTATCTTTTGTGCAAAATATATGACATTTATATTCAAAATATTCCTGGTTTTACAAGGAATCCAGCAATGTCAATTATATTATCCTAACTTTAATCTGAGGTATTATTTAATACTAAATGTTAAAATCTAGTTTTTTCACCCAACCTTTCTCTTGAAGGGAGGGTTGGGACGGACCGACCATCTGGCGCGGTTGGAAGAGGGGGGGAGGCAAGGTGGGGTACTTTGATTGACAGATAGTGTCGTGAAGAATATTTTTTTTTTTTATTAACTGAAGATATTTGTTTTAGCTCATAAAATTCATACAAATTACCCGGCCAGAATATAATTTACATTGCTGGAATTCTTACAATTTGATGATCATTTTGAATATAAACATCATAGATTTTGCATTAGACATACAAATTTTAGATATAATGTTTACTCTGAGTAAATATGTTATCTTTTGTGCAAAATATATGACATTTATATTCAAAATATTCCTGGTCTTACAAGGAATCCAGCAATGTCAATTATATTATCCTAACTTTAGTTTGAGGTATTATTTATTACTATACCTGGTTTTCCCCCAAAATTTCTCAGAGAGGGAAGAGCCAGCGAGTGTAGTGTGAGAAGAGGGGGAGGGAGTTGAGTCCATTATTTGAATGGACATTAACTTGGCGACTGTATTTCTCTATTTCTCTTAAGTATTAATTGTGTGCATGTACCATCATAAAATTAAGATGTTATTTTTACTAGAACATAGGTATTGTGTTGGAAAAAGTGGAGTTTGGGGGTCAGCTGGTCTCTATTTCATTTAATCCCATATGTTATGTTATTAACGTTATTCACTTTACGTTTCTCACTTTCCGCGGTACCCTGTGGGTTACATTAACCGCGTAAAGTGAACACACACACACACACACACACACACACACACACACACACACACACACACACACACACACACACACACACACACACACACACACACACACACACACACACACACACACACACACACACACACACACACACACACACACACACACACACACACACACACACACACACACACACACACACACACACACACACACACACACACACACACACACACACACACACACACACACACACACACACACACACACACACACACACACACACACACACACACACACACACACACACACACACACACACACACACACACACACACACACACACACACACACACACACACACACACACACACACACACACACACACACACACACACACACACACACACACACACACACACACACACACACACACACACACACACACACACACACACACACACACACACACACACACACACACACACACACACACACACACACACACACACACACACACACACACACACACACACACACACACACACACACACACACACACACACACACACACACACACACACACACACACACACACACACACACACACACACACACACACACACACACACACACACACACACACACACACACACACACACACACACACACACACACACACACACACACACACACACACACACACACACACACACACACACACACACACACACACACACACACACACACACACACACACACACACACACACACACACACACACACACACACACACACACACACACACACACACACACACACACACACACACACACACACACACACACACACACACACACACACACACACACACACACACACACACACACACACACACACACACACACACACACACACACACACACACACACACACACACACACACACACACACACACACACACACACACACACACACACACACACACACACACACACACACACACACACACACACACACACACACACACACACACACACACACACACACACACACACACACACACACACACACACACACACACACACACACACACACACACACACACACACACACACACACACACACACACACACACACACACACACACACACACACACACACACACACACACGGATAAATTATACCAACACCACCACGAAGCTCACCACCACTTCTTCCCCGAGAAGTCCGTCAGATCTCACCCAGCTGACTTGCCCTGGATCACACCTCGGATCAAAAGACTTATGCAACAGAGAGACAGAGCCTTTCATCTCAATGACCACATCCGCTACAGGTCACTTCGCAACAGAGTCATCCGCGAAATACGCACTGCAAAGAAGTCCCACTACCCAACCAAATTACAACACCTGAAGCAGACCAACATCAGTCAATGGTATGGTAAGCTTAAAGAACTCTGTGGACTAAACAATATGACACACCCCCTCCCCTTCCTTAGCCATCTCACTAATGTTGACGCAGCTGAGCAAACAAATAACCATTTCGCTACTATATGCCAGACGCTCCCACGGCTTGACACAACCACTCTCCCTGCTTACCTACCAGCCCCCTTCCCACTGACTTAGTAGAGGAATTTGACGTAGCAAAACGCCTGGACAAACTAAAATTAAAACGCTCTACCACCCCCATTGACTTACCAATGAAACTATTCAAGGAGTTCTCCCCGGAGCTTGCTAAACCCCTCTGCTCCATCATCAATGCTTCTCTCAGTCAAGCCAGATGCCCAGCTGACTGGAAGACCTCTTATGTATCACCAGTGCCCAAGTCAACCAGCCCACAATCCTTAAATCAGCTACGACCTATTGCAATCACCCCAATACCCAGCCTAATCTGTGAAAGTTTTGTGTTTGACTGGGCTTATGCTGATATTGCAGGAGTCGTAGACCCTCAGCAATTTGGCAACATGAAAACTTCCTCCACCACTCACTGTCTTGTCAGCTTTCTCGATTACATATACCGCCATCTCGAGAAACGAAAAACGTCTGTAGCTGTCGCCTTCATTGATTTCACTAAAGCGTTCGACCTAGTCGACCACAATATAATCATAAACAAAGCTATTGACCTCGGGCTTCGGAGAAGTCTCATACCATGGCTTACAGACTTCCTCAGTGACCGACGCCAAGCTGTACGCTTCCGAGGGGCTGTCTCCACCTCTCAGTCACTCACCTGTGGCGTCCCCCAAGGCACCAAGATGGGACCACTCTGCTTCCTTATGCTCATCAATGATGCCCTAAGAGAAACCCCTGCTCGCTGGAAATATGTCGACGACTCCACCATTGGGATCAGCGTCAACAATTCTGCTCCCAACTATACCGCCCTTCAGGATTTATTGAACAGTCTCCAAAACTGGGCCACCAACAACCATGTCACCATCAACCATACCAAGACCATGGTTATGCACATCAACCTCTCCTCCGACATTGTCCCACCTCCTTCCATTACCCTAGGTCCGAACACACTCCAGGTTGTAGATTCCACGAAGCTCCTCGGCGTCACCATAGACAACAAACTAAATTGGAAACCACACGTCAGTGAAGTTGTCAAATCCTCCAGTTTCCGTCTCCACCTCCTCCGCCGACTCAAGTCCCTCGGAGTTCCTGCACACGAGCTCCTCAGTGTATACACAACATTCATACTTCCCAAGCTCACCTATGCCTCCCCCACCTGGTCTTCCTCCCTAAATGCCACACAACGTAAACACCTAGAAAAAGTGCAAAAGAGGGCATGCAAGATTATTCTCTCCCCTTCCTACTCCACATATCAAGAAGCGCTCAACACACTGACCCTTTCGACTCTCACTGACCATCACCACGGCCTCATCTGCAAATTTGGTAAGAAGCTTCTACACCATCCCCGACACCGGCCCCTACTACCACCTGAGATCCCCTGTCCGAGAATTGCTGTTCGACACCACAACCGCATCCAGCCCATACGTGCACGAACTGATCGCTATAAGAACAGCCCAGTCCCAACCATTGTAAAAATTATCAATAACATGTAATAAATCAGTGTATTCACTCCCAGTAAACACTGCTCCCTACACTGACACTATGTTGAAATGAACTGTAGTTTGAGCTGATCCCCATCTAAGTTACTATATGTCTTATTTGTGTCACTTATGTCACTTGTATATTATTTGTAATTCGTAACCCATTCCCCAAATATGTAACTGTATATTTTCAGCCTTCTGGCTGCCAAGCTCTTTCAATAAACCGTTAATTATTATTATTATTACGCACGCACGCACGCACGCACGCGCACACACACACACACACACACACACTACTGATTGTGGCTGGATCTGACCTGACCTGATGGCTTCACCTGACCTAACCTGAAGGATGGAGCACACCTGCAGTGTCCCAAGCTACTGGCCTGGCCACGTGGCCACACACCTGCCCAACCGCATCCAGCCCATACGAGCACGAACTGATTGCTACAAGAACAGCCCAGTCCCAACCAATGTAAAAATTATCAACACTTAATTATTATATATCATATTTGTATCACTTATGTTACTTGTACATCATTTGTAAATCAAGAGAACCATTCCCCAATTATATAATTGCATATTTTCAGCCTTCCGGCTGCCATGCTCTTTCAATACTGTTAATTATTATCACACACACACACACCTCTCTCATTGTTTGTTTGTTATATCAACCCCCCCCCACGCACCAACCGCCAATGTACTGATTACTGTACTCATATAATAGACACTGCTAACTCCCTGAGATCCAGATTTCCATGTGCTAAACTAGTGATATGCGGTGACTTTAATGAGTTAGACATCAGTGACATCACCCAACACCTCCACCTTGCACAAATAGTTAACTTTCCCACATATGGGAATGCCACCCTGGAATTAACTTGGGATATATACTTGCGAAAATGAGCTAAGGGGTTAAAACACACACACACAGTACTAGTAAATACATGTACATACCTGTGCATCTATGACAAATACAAGTGCTCCATGTCCTCCAAAAATCTTCTCAGAATCAAATGATGGCTCAAAGAAATCAATTTGTCCAGGAAAATCAAGAATCTTGAACTGAACAAAGGAGGAATTTGAGATATTTTCAGATTCAATCTTGTTTGTTGACTCCAAGAAGAGAGTTTCATTTGGTGTCATTTTGTGAAACACAACCTTCTGAATTGAAGATTTTCCACTCCTACAAATATAAAAATAGATAATTTAATTAAAACACAATTGTGAAGAAAACAAAAGGCTTGATAATGATAATATATTCTACAGTTACTGTGATTACTGTACAATACTAAAAAGCAAGGAATAACTTATACAGGAAATTCAAATAAATGAAAAACTCATTTACTAGTTATAACTGAAATATATATACAGTTAGTCAGGTACAGTATACATCGAAAACAGACATATATGCGGACTGCCAAAAGTCAATGGATAGTGAATCAACAATTTTCAAGGCAATAAATCCCATAATAATACAGTACAGTACAACAAATTCAGAAGGTTAGGAACCAGCCACCCCCCAAAAACTCCCACCTACCATTGATATATCTCTGTCGTGCACACTGTCATGCTCTATCAAGTCAGTCTCCATAATGGCATTATTAAATAAAAATTATAAAGTAGAGTCAATAACTTTATCAGGATACCTTATTTTATTTTATTTCTCATCATAATAAATAGCTTCTCTTAGAGTAATTTCTTTGTTAGGTTGCTATGTTGAAGGAGGGAGGAGGGAGAGTAGATAAAGTAAGACGTCACCTTCGAAAAACTTTAATCTTTTATTTTCACGTAAAAATACATATACAGTCAACCCTCACATTACGCGGTCCCGCATTCCGCGGTTCACCGTTAACGCGGTGCCCTGCCGGAACCTAACATGCTCACATTCCGCGGTCGTGAACCCCATTACGCGGAGAGCGGCTGGCAAGCCGCGCCATTTTTGGATCCAAACCTCCCGCCATCCGCCATGTTGTGTAAGAGGAGCGAAAATGGTGCGCACAAGGTCGCCCAGTCATCAAAACATTACCAGTTCTTCACCCGCCACCCACTACAGCCGGCCCAAGTCAGTGATAGTGATAATTATAGTGAGGATATGGACTTAAATGAACTTTGGGGGGTTTGACAAAGAGGCCCTGCAAGCCTCTGTGGTGGATAGTGATACAATTGATACAAGTGATACAGGTGAGGGCCAATAATCTGCCCTCTGCCTCGGAACCAACCGCCCATCCCCGTGTGCCCAGCCATCTTTTCTACTAATGTAAGTGTTAAAAAACCTAATATTATTGATATTTCTCTTAATTATTAATTGTGTGTGCATGCCATCATAAAGTTAAGATAATATTTTTACTACAACATAGTTGTGTGTCGTCAAAAAGTGGAGTTTGGGGATCGGCCTGGACTCCATTTCAATTAATCCCATATGTTATGTTGTTCACTTTACGCGTTCCTCACTTTCCGCGGTACCCTCCGGGTTACATTAACCGCGTAATGTGAGACCCAACTGTATACTTTTTTCTGTTTTTGAAGACTTTATATTATTTACGATGAATAGTACGCCATAAGAGGCTGATCATAGTGGAATATAATATTAAATCAATAATACAGTAAACCCTCGCACTTCCGGACCTCTCATATGCGGATTTTGGTTGGTCCGGACGACATCTGGATGTGGCAAATTCAAATCCGGTCTCTCTCTTTCAGTCCATGTGCCATATTTACTCAACCAGTGCTAAAATGGACCCTGTCTGCATCTCCCACCACTACTCACAGCAAGCATCCCTACTCAGTCTCGCTTGTAATCTCAGTGTGTATACACCATCTCGCTACCTCTTTTGTTGTTCCTCGTGTATTTTGTGCGAGATTTCTTGTGCCTTGTGACTGTTGTGAAGTGTAATGATGGCACCCAAAAGGAAGTGCACGAAGCTTACTAGTATAGCTAAGAAGCTGGAGTTGTTACAGATGTTCGAAAATGGTTGGTCTATAGCGAAAATCGCGTCGTTAAGCAAACAGTGTCTGATACCCGAAAGGCTAAGGGCTCCCTGCAGTTACAACTCCTCCCCGACTTACGACCTACTCGACTTACGACTACCCGCACTTACGACCTACCTCAGTCGTACCAAAATTTTGTCAAATTACATATTTTCGAGTCCCAACGTCAGTACACAGAGAAATTTTCGTTTGTAATTCACTTTAAAATGGCTGGCAAGCTAAAAAGTGAGAGTTTTGTGGTGCTGAGAAGAAAAAGAGACACCCATTTGAGATTTTCTATCTATTATTTAAGCATTTTCGACTTAAGACCTGGATTTGGGTCCCTAACCCTGTCGTAAGTCAGGGAGGAGCTGTATCTGTAATGAAATATTGTCATGATTCTTTGACCTGATGTAGAATATTAGGGTTATGGTTAAAGTGCCTTCATCTACCCAATTTATCCAGAACCCCCCCCCTCCCCTACATACACACAATTGTCCATATATATATATATATATATATATATATATATATATATATATATATATATATATATATATATATATATATATATATATATATATATATATATATATATATATATATATATATATATATATATATATATATATATATATATATATATATATATATATATATATATATATATATATATATATATATATATATATATATATATATATATATATATATATATATATATGTATATATATATATATATATATATATATATATATATATATATATATATATATATATATATATATATATATATATATATATATATATATATATATACTGCTGCTGCTATATATATATATATATATATATATATATATATATATATATATATATATATATATTAGCCCAGCGGGCACAGGTCACTGACCCCACGCAGGGGGGCAAAATACAGTGGCCCCTCGGTTAACGAACTCAATCCGTTCCAGAAGGTTGTTCGTTAACCGAAACGTTCGTTAACCGAAACCATTGTTGCAATGGGTTTTTGGGTAATTGGTTCCAGCTCACCGAAAATTTCCTAAATTCAACAAAAATTGTAAAAAAGTTCACTTACTTTGAGGTGTGTATGTAGAAGGCTCCTGGATGATGATGATGATGATGGGATTTAGAATGGGGGTGGAGGGGAAGGAAGAAGAGAAGGCATTGGGGTGGAAGAGAAGTCACCCCATGGTGCCATTTCACCCATAAAATTTTAGCTCTCTGGTTTAATTCAAGATTATTTTCTTTAAATCAACGCTGCACTGCATTATATATTGTCAATATATAAAATATATTTCAAAATGACCAATAGTTTACTTGGAAACACAGAAAAAAAGCGTTTAGTTGAAGAGAGTCTCAAGCAAGATGTTACCTCCAGTGAAAACAGAGAGAGACTGACGCCTGTTTGCTGTGTTAAGAGGCTGGATGCCGCGCATTAAACTAGTCACTTTACCTTCAATTTTGTTCAATAATTATTAAAATGACTAAAAAATTGAATATTAAACTTTTAAAATTATTGAATAGTATAAACTTCTTGATATTTACAAAAATAGTAAGGAATTTAAGCCCTAGAACCGATTAATGTAGCTGGTTGCCCGGTCAGTGCAAGTGAAAACATGTTGAGGTCGGTTCGTAAGAAGTTCGTTAAGCGAATTTTTTTTCGTTAACCGAATTGAAGATCCTTATGGAAGGCAGTTCGTTAACCGAAATTACGTTAACCGAGGTGTTCGTTAAACGAGGGGTCACTGTATACACATTATTTCTCTAGTCAGTAGCGTGTGGCAATGCCCGTTTCATGTCACCGCACGCTTAGATAAATGTACCTGGCGACATCTGGAAGCTGCTAGTATACCACTTACCACATGTCGCCCGAGAGGTCAGAGTGAGGTCAGTTGACCCTATAGGAGTGTAAGGACTACCTGCTCTTGTAAGCGCACCCCTGTATATTTCCGTTAATAAGAACCTACAGAACTCTACAGGTGTTTATGCTCGCTCCTGTAGTTAGAACCAAGTACCCAGAACATCTCCAGTAGTGACACAGAATTTGATATTGCAACTGGGGTTGCAATTGTTGAGGCAACTTAGGTATGTCTGTTTACAGTTGGTATGTCTGTTTACAGTTGGAATATTCAAGATCCATTGTGAGTGATGTTTAAAGCTTCAACTGTCTTTATGGTTGGTAAAACTTGTCAAGTCTGCCAGTCTGAATGGCATGTATGAGGCCTTGTGTTTGTTAAAATTTACCCCAATTTCCGTAAGGGCGGATTTACGGGCCGTAACGCGAAATTATTGGTCATAATTTACAAATTCCGTAAGAGCAAAATTCCGTAACCCGGGCTTCCGTAACGCGGGGGATGCCTGTATCCTAATTGGGATATGTAAATTAACATTTTATCTTTCGGTAAATGTTCCTAATATTGGAAAATATTCCAAACAGTTTATAATCATAATCTGGACCTAAGCCAGCGGAGCCTTATACGCAATGTCACCTCCCTCTCCACCTCCTGCCCGGGTATTCAAAGCTAGACGTCGCATTCTGGATTGAACAAAAAGCCGTTTTTTTCTAAAAACCAGTTTTTTTATATAGTCCAGAATGCGACGTCGACATCCCACCCATCTTCACCCCTCGAGAGTTGACATCTGTTTACTGCTCGCTCTAGGGCAAGAGATGACGGTGGCAGTGCGTGTGATGGAGGATGCGGGAGGGGGTTTTGAAAATTGCAATTAAATGCCAGGTAGCGACGTATCCTCCTAATATTACGTATTTAAGTACAGCTCCTCCCCGACTTACGACGGGGTTAGGGACCCAAATCCAGGTTGTAAGTTGAAAATGCTTAAATAATACATAGAAAATCTAAAATGGGTGTCTCTTTTTCTTCTCAGCACCACAAAACTCTCACTTTTAAGCTTGCCAGCCATTTTAAAGTGAATTACAAACAAAAATTTTGTCAGTACACAGCGCAATCACTAACGTTGGGACTCGAAAATACGTAATTTGATAAAATTTTGGTACGACTGAGGCGATCGTATGTCCGGGTGGTCGTAAGTCGAGTACAGTTGTACCCCACTTAACGCGGTCAATTGAACCCAGAGGGTCCCGCGTTAAGTGAAATCCGCGTTAAGTGAACAACAGAACATATGGGATTAATTCCAATAGAAACCGGCCCGACCCCCAAACTCCACTTTTTGAAGGCACAT